TTTTTTTGCTTCTGTGCATGTGCAGAAGCATTTTTTTTTTGCTTCGGTGCATGCACATGTAGCGCACATCAAGTGCACACACGTGCAAAGCCCGTCGGACCAGCAGTAGACGAAGCTGGAACCCACCCCTGCTGTGCACTCTGAGGAAGAATGTGAATTACCTGAAACAACTCAGTGTTCTCAAAACAACACCTCTTACTGGCTGAAGATGGACTGGTCATGAGGGGAGGGCTGGGATGGAGGGAAACCTCCTGTATCTTTTGAGCACAGGGGATTTAATTCCCGCCTGACTCTACTGCAAGCAACAACTTTTAGTACAACCAACATTACATCAACCGAATGGAGTCGAGGGTCTTTCCTTCCTGTGAGGCCGCGCTGGGGCTGGCCTGACACTAAGAAAAAGAAGCCCAAATCCAGGGCTGATTTCGTAACAAGGTTTTGTTTTCTGCTTCTGTAGAATCAATGCTTCAATGAAAACAGCTTCGCCAGATATCCCGAGTGTTTGCACGCAATCCTAGGCCTTATGATGAACCTCTCCCTGGAGCCCAACTCGGTCATTGAGGTGATTTATAAACTTGCATCACTTGGGGGGGGTGGGTGGTCTCCGAACATCTGAAATTCTCCTCTGATCTCTGGAGAAAATTCTTTCCATGCCAGTCAATCTTTAGGGAGGATCCTTTAAGGTTAGGTTGAAGGTGAACTCTGACCTGGGAAGAGTTCCTCCTTGGCGTGGATGGGTCTGGGGGTTTGGTGGGATTGTCCCTTTATCTACATCCCTGTGAGATAGCAAGGGGCTGGGTGAAGCTTCTGCCCCCAACAAGCTTTGGGTCTGAGCAGGTCTCAGCCCAGCATGTTCTCCCGGCGTCCTTCTGTCCGAGGAAGCTTTGGGTTTTGCCCTCCAGCGTCCTAATGAAACTGCCCTTCTGCTCTTTGCACTCTAATCCTGGCGGTTGTTTCAGGAACTGGCCACGGAAATCACTGACACGTGCATCTCTCTCTTCAACAGCCCGGACGGGAGGATCGTCACAGTGAGTGTTAGACCATAGACCATAGAATAGCCTGGAGTTGGAAGGGACCTTGGAGGTCTTCTAGTCTCAAGCAGGAGACCCTGTACTGTTTCAGACAAGTGGCTGTCCAGTCTCTTCTTGAAAACCTCCAGTGATGGAGCGACCACGATTTCTGGTGGCAAGCAGTTCCACTGATTAATTGTCCTCACTATTAGGAAGTTTCTCCTTAATTTCAGGTTGTTTCTCTCCTTGATTAGTTCCCACCCATCGTTTCTTGTCCTGCCTTCTGGTGCTTTGGGGAATAGCTTGACTCCCTCCTGTCTGTGGCAGCCCCTCAAATACTGGAACAGGGTCTTAGGCTCCCACGGTTCTGCTCTCTGCTCCTTGGGCCCTGGAACAAGCAAGATGGCAGAGAGCTGGCTGGCCTTCTTTATAGCAGTTAGCAATAGCAGTTAGACTTACATACCGCTTCATAGGGCTTCCAGCCCTCTCTAAGCGGTTTACAGAGTCAGCATATCGCCCCCCACA